CGATGATCTGTTGGAGTTCCGCAGGTGCTCTGGTTGGTTGAGTGGGTCTGTAGATGTGGGTCTTGGTGTATTTGTGGGAGAGGGTGGCTTACAGGCGTCCTTCTACTCCGCCATCTTGCCCGGAAGTCCTATTTTATTCTTAATTTGATAGAAACTAGGGATTTGTTTGAACCTTGAAATTACTGCCTTCTATCAGGTGTGGTAAAATTATACAGTTAGGAAAAATTTAAGGATAATTCCAATCTAAATGAAAGTTAATGGAGTGGACAAAGTGATTATTAAAAAATAAATAGTTTTACTCAAACAGATATTTGTGTTCCAGTGTTCTTCATAGCGTTAATTACAATAGCCAAAATGTGGAAACAACCCAAGTATCCATTCACGGATGAATGGATAAACAAAATGAAGTATATACATGCAGTGGAATATTATTCAGCCTTTAAAAGGAATGAAATTCTGATACTGATGTACTGTAGATGAACCTTGAAAACATTGTGTTAAGGGGAATAAGCCAGTACAAACGGACAATATTGTAAGATTCCACTTATCTGGAGTACTCAGTAGTCAAGTCCATAGAGACAGAAGGTGGAATGATGGGGGTTACCAGGGGGTGCGGGGGAGGAAGGAATGGGATTTAGTGCTTAATGGGGACAGAGTCTCAGTTTGGGAACATGAAAATGTTCTGGAGGTGTTGGTGTGGTGGTTGCCCAACAGTGCGAACATACTGAAGGCCCTTGTACCTTAAAAGTGTTTAAAATGGTAAATTTTGTTAAGTATATTGTAACCAAAATAAATTTTTGTAACAAGTAAAAGAAATCTCACACTCAGGATGGTGAACAAAAAGCTGGACCTTAGAATCAGAGCTGTATTACCCCAGAGGGAGAAAACTGACCGAGATGATCTTCAGCGGTTTTTGTGGCTCTGCCAGCCTTGGAGGAGAACTCCCCACTCGGGGTTCCTCCCTGAAAGGGCCTCTGGCACAGGGTGGGCCTTTGCAGAAATGTCCACGCTGGGAAGGCCTTTGGGGCTTCTGACCACTCAGTCATACTCAGGGCTCTAGTCCCCTTTCTTCAGTCCCGTGTTAACTGAAAATCAAGTATGTGCATCCAAGGTGGGGAGTCCTGAATAGTGAAACTCTTCCCACCCCTGGTCAGCCTGTGTCCTAGCTAGGGAAAGAAGACAAGCCAGCCTAAAAATGAACACTGCGAGGCCACGATTATGGAACCCGCAAAGTGCTTAAGGAATCGGACATCAAATGGGCACAGGCACCTTCACCGCAGCTGTCGGGTGTCTGCCCCCAGGGCTCCCAGTGCCTGGTGGTCTTGTCGCCTTTTGCTCCTGAACGTGACTGTTAAAGTGATGAGGCCCGAGGAGAGGGGCCAGGTGGAGGAGCCATCAGATCTGGAGTGGATTTTCATTTATGAGTCTGAGCAAGTCTCAGGGGTCAGGAAATGGACCTCCTCGCTGCTGTTCAGTCCCCACAGATGGCATTCTGGCCGCAGCCCCAGGGGAGCTGGCCCTGCGACAGCTTTATATACAGAGCAGGCGCTTCTTGGTTTTGCTCCTTCACTTTTGAATTTTTACATGTATCTTCAGTTCCTGGGCTAAAAAAAAAAAAATCTAGACGTGGTCTGGCTGACTAGCTTTTGGCTGTTCCCATAACAAAATGACATTTTGTGGTTAGTGTAGTTAATTGGCTCAACTTCTGTAACTTCTATAAATAGCCTTTTACAAGCAAGGAGGGGGAAAAAATTGTGTTTTGGAAACCTATTTCTAAGTAGTTCCAGCCATGTGGGATTTTGGAAAGTTGTCTGGGCTGGGTTTGAGGGAATTCCTGGAGCTAAGAATTAGAATTTTGTATTGTTTCCTGTCTGTAGCTCGTCCTGAGGTCTACTTTGGCCACCAACTTTGTGTTTGGGGAGGTTCCGTTACGATGCCAACACTTCCCTAAATACTTGTTAAGAGCCTGGAGCGGGAAGTAGGTAAACATGAAGGAGTGGCTCTGGGACCTCATAGGGTACTTTTGTTCTTTGTTTCACTCGGGAGATACTTTCACGTCTATTACTATATTTGAAAGACTCTTTGGCTGAAAACATTTGCTTTGTTAGGACACAGAATCTGTTTTGCTTCTGTATTTAAATTCTTTTTTAGCCTCATTTCCTACCAGCTGGGATTAACTGGCTTTGCTTTAATTTTCAGAAATCGCCCCTCGTGGATGTCCCAGTGTTGCAGTTTTGCTTTGCTTTCATCCAAAGGTAATGCAGAGACATTTCTCAGTTAGAGGTGCTAGTACAATATTATAAATACTTACCCTGATTGTGTGTCTTGATTACTGGGGAGCCTTAATTCAGAAAGGATCTGAGTGGAGTCCCGATTTCCTCCCAAGGCATGGGAATGCCCTGATGATCTTACTTGTCCTTCATCAGAGATCTAATCTGACATTTTAAAGTCCATGTGCTGAAAGTTGAACGCTTGATGTCAGCAAAACTTGATATGAGGGCTGGTAAACTCGAGAAGAAACAGTTTGCGTTGAATTGATACCCAAAAAAGGGGAGGAGTACTTTAAAGACCTCATTTAGAAAAAGGAGAAGTGATTATTTTTGGTCCTGTCCTCAGTTTTTTCCCCGTGTTTTCTGCTGGGTGTCTTCTGCTTGGGGTTACTGAGCTGAGTGTCCAGGAGCAGCCGTCTCCGCTATGGGACGAAGTGAAGCGGGTCCCCAGGCAGCACTTCTCTGCGGGGGAGGGGAAGCTTGGCTGGGCCTCCTTGAGATCCTGCAGGGGCCCATCCCTGGTGCAGTCCCAGGCCCCAGGGCGCTGGCTGCTGCAGGGAGCCTCGACATCCTCATGTATCTCAGGAGTTTCACAATAAATAAATTTGACAACCAGCGGCAAGCTCCTTGGTTAACAAGTTCACGTTGTGCAGGGAGGCAAAAGGAGGGTCATAGTGCCTGGAGTCCCTGGGTCTGAGGTGGAGTTAGACCAGCTGTTCACCCTTCACCACAAGCAGCATTGTAGCTCTTTCTCTAGGCGTTGACGATGAGTTGGTCACATCCCTCCTCGTGGTAACTAACGCATATTGTAATACGAGCGAGCACCGGTTACAGTGGCCTCAGTGATACCTGGGCCTTCCCAGCAGCTGCAGGAGCTGCATCCCCCTTTTATGGATGTCACTCAGGTCACTCAGGAGGCAGTAAATCAGGGACCAGGACTGAACCTGGGACCCTTGGCTGTGGCTCAGCTGCGGCCTCGCTCTGTAGCAGCAATCCAGGGTCAGCCTCGTTCCCCGCGAGCCCTGACCTGACAGCTACTGAGGATCAGCTGCTGGTGGGTGACCCCTGACGTAGCCCTTTGCGACCTTATGATGGCTGACTCTGTTACCAACAATGTTAGAGAGGCCGAATGTTGGAACCAGACAGGCCCAGAGAGCAGACAGCCTAGTACGAGGCTTTGCTTTATAGACGGGGAAACCCCACGAGCATCTGACCTGTCAGCAGCAGGGTATCACAACTCCAGACTCCAGGTTCTTGCCAGAATTCCAAAACTTAGCTTGTGTGTATTACAATTGTAAAAAGACCTAACAGGTCAGGGAGATGGGCCATCTTCCCTTATGCTTTCCAACCACCTGGGTCTAAAATGTGCTTGTAAACAAACATTTTGCTTTGACCTATTCATGGTTGGATTTTTTGTTTTCTGTTTTTCTTTTTAAATAGGCTCCCAGTAATAGCCTTGCAAGAGAACTTTCCTTCGCTACTGGGTGTGTTAAAGGAGTCTGTGCAGTTGAATCTTGCTCCCCCTGGGTATTTTCTGCTTCTCAGGTATGATGTCGCAGCACTCACGTTACCGCATTTTTCTGCTGGAACGTATTCTTATTTCTGCAGCATTCTCAGTCTGAAGCTGCTTGTCTCTCAACAGCATGCTGAACGACTTTGTAACGAGAACTCCCAACCTGGAGAACAAGAAGGATCAAAAAGACCTGCAGGTCTGTATGTGCAAGTTTGGCAGATTGTTACTGTTCCATTGGCAGAACCAGATCTTAAATTTGTGTTTGTTCCCATGTCTGACTTCCTCCGTTACTGTCTTTACCGGGCTCAGCAGACTCGGACCAGGCTCTCCTGCTGAAGGTTCTTGTGTTAGACTTGAGTGATCCACCGTAGAACTTACAGGGTGCCCTCTCCCACCCTGCTATACGCAAATGTGGGTGGAGCTTACTCTTCAGCATAGTTGGAATAATAAATCTATTTTTATACACAGATGTCTTTCCTGATAACCTCCCCCCACTTTTTAAAGCAATATATACTCATAGGAAACTTCAAAAACGCTGAAAAATTAAAGTAAAACTCACCCAGTTGAGAAGGAAAATCTTCTCCATCGAGTAGAATACCAACTAAGAAGCAGAAGTCGTGATGGAGCTAGAAAAATCACTGTCTTGCAACCGTTTTAGTCATTGAGTGAGGAGCTTTTTGAGTCAGTCTTTAAACTGAGGGGTGTTGTTTATGGCTTTGGTGATATTACTGCTAATTGCTGTGATCCCAGCATTTGTGAAAGGTCTGTCCCATTCTTGATTCCGAACCACCAGTGTTCTGTGTAAAGCCAGTGACTCCTTTGGCTCAGCTGGTGGAGAAGAAAGCCTTCGCAAGGTGCAGGCGCTGCCCCAGCGCTTCGGTACCACTTCCTAAACTAGCCTGGCAAGCACCCCCTTTTATGGCCAGTTGCCAGCCGTGGCCCCTCTCCCTTCAGTCCATCTGGGCGGAGTTTGGCCACGGACACCACCTCCACCAGTGCAGCTGGTGCACCTTGCCTCTGTCGCCGTCGGCAGGGGGCCAGGCAGCACCCTGCTTCCACCCCGTGGTGTCCCAGCCTCAACACAGACTCCTTCCTCCCTTTTCAAGACACCCTAACTTTCTCTGCATCCACTTACTGCACTTGAAGTGGAAGCTCCGCTAAGTCCTCAACCCCTTTTCTTGATCTTCCTCGCTGCCATCGTCCACATCAGGCCTCTGCTGGGCTTAGTGCGGGCCATTCCCTCTGGTTCACCCTCCTTGCCTCTGGCAGGCAGACGTGCTCCTGCTTCATGCCTGGTCACAACTGCTGGGCTCGTGGTGGAAGTCAGGGTTGTTCTGTTCTCAGACGTCAAGGACGTCCAGCCACTCTGAGCTGGTGATGCTTGAGGATACTGACTGGAGAAACCCACTCAGTGTTTCCACCTCTGACCCAGCTACTTGACCATGTGCTTTCCTGATTGCTCTCCTGACACAGATGACGCCTCACCCCACCCTCATGCAGTCAGTTTAATTTATTCAGTTTTGTCTCTTGTTGTATTACTGCAAGGTACATTGCTAGCAAGAACCCATGGCCCTAAAGAAACCAGAAATCTAATCTGCCAAGTGTGTTGTGCGGCTGTGACTTCCTGTGTCTGTTTTACCCACATGGGACATATGGTAGCCATGGGCCACGTGTGGCTGTTGAGCTTGAAATGTGGCTTTCTGGGCTGCATGTGCAGGAAGTGTGACATGCACGTCGGATTTCAAAGACTTAGCACAAAAAAGTGCTGAATCTCACTAATAATTTTTATACTGATTATATGGTGAGAATATTCTGGACCTACTGGGTTAAATGTTATGAACTTGTTCCTTGGAATGTGGCCCCTGGAGAACTTGATATTACCTATGTGGCTCACACATGTGGCTTGCCTTGTATTTCTATTGGATGGGGCTGTTTTTGGCACTTAGGATTCTTGTCCTTAACTAACTCCCTTTCCCCTTCCTCCCGATTCCTCTCAGGAAGTCACTCAGAAAATTCTAGAAGCTGTCGGGAACATTGCTGGCTCTTCCTTGGAACAAACCAGCTGGCTAAGCAGAAACCTGGAAGTGAAGGCCCAGCCTCAGATCTCTCTAGAAGAATCTGATGCTGAGGAAGATTTGCACGGTAGGTGTAGATGGGTCAGAAAGTAATGGTGCTGCCAGCTCGTGGATCTGGTCTGCCTTGAAAGTAACTGGTTTTACTTCCTACAACATGAGTTGTACATATAACAACCAGTAGGATTCCACTGGAAGTGTCCCAAGTGGCCCGTCGCCACCGTGTTAAGCCCTCACTGAACCCAGATGGGGGTCCAAGAAAGTTACTTCCCAAGATAATTTGCTTGGACTCAGTGATAGAAATCTGTGTTGGGTAGAGAATAGGAGAATGTGTGTTTTTCTTTTTGTGGCTCTGTGGAAAGAAAACTTAGTAAACCAGCAAGCTGTCGTCAGGCACGTGATGTTATGTTTCATTTCTGGCCAACACACCCCAGCCTCTCGGTGGTTCTGGTGTTCCGTCATGCCCGGGACATGAGGAGTTTGTAATAGGCATCATGCGGAGTAGGCTTCCCCCAGGCTTACTGTTAGTTACAGCTTCCTAGGAAGATGGTTGGGAGACCCTCGGAGGGGACGCATCTGTTTACCCCGAGGACTGCTGATCAGCCAGGCACCCTTGAGGAGTCTGGATTAAATGCAGCAGTGTAGGTTGTTCATTGCCAGAGCCCTGAAGACCCCCAGAGGAATCTATCAGTCAAGCCAATCTCAGGTTATTAGACCTGCTGTGTCAAGGGAGAAGCTTGACAGAGTCACAGGGGTGTCTCAATGGGGACGTTTGGGGACGTATTTGTAGGGTTGTGGGGCCTTGGCCAAGTTGTTTGTGGCAGATCTTTCAAGGTGGGGACCTGGGTGAGACTGGGCAGAGTTGGTGATAAAATAGCTTTGCAAAACCTTTTGGCTCAGGTACATGAGAAGCCCAGGCATCAATACCTGGCTTTAGGCATAGCAGGAACCAGGCGTTCAGATGAGGTTAATCAAGTCTCACACAAAGATTCTGGATGGCTCTTCTTGGGCCTGCAGCTGACCCAGGGGAGGGCGGGAAGAGGGCTGGTGCCCCGGAGCCACGAGGAATGGGCTCCCACCCGGGACCGGCTGCTCTTCCCAGGAGAAGGAAGGATGCTGTGGTTCCCCCATCCGTTACTTCTGCCGCATTCACTTGAGAGCTGGTTTTGTGGCTTACTTAAGAAAAATAATTACACTTTACTCTGTAATGAAGATCCTACAACTAATGTGCTATCATTTGCTAACTTAAACCAACAGTTATGCTTTCTCGGGCTACTGTGGTTATGGTTACAGTTGTGGTTCTAGGGAAAGAGAACATCTCCTTGGCTAATTGGTCTTTAGTTGTTTCTGTCGTGTGTGCTGTGTGAATTACACTGCCGCTCCACCCCCAGTGCGGCTGCGCTGTGTTGAGTCAGGTGGTATCGGGCCTGGCTTTTGTGCAGTAATTGAGTTTAAGCTCCAGGCAATACTGTTGTAAAATAATTAGCTGATTTTTATTTTAAAAAAGAAATCATAGACTTCCAAAGCTAGAGATGCTTTTGGGCTTCTCAATAAGACTGACTTAGCAAATTACAGAGTACCAGAAAGGTCTTTGGATCGTAACTGTATTTCGTGTTGGTCTTGAATAAACTGAGCATGCATGTTGGCCATATAAGGCATGAAACAGGATGAGGCTTCCAATGATGTGTTTTCCTCCTCTGAGAGTTTTTATGCCGGCAGTGGATGTGCAAGGTCTTCCTGTATCTGTGTGTCTGGCGTGGGCCACGCCCTGTGTTCTAGGTGCTGGTGCTGCAGCAGCAAACACAGTAAGCGGGGCCTCTGCTCTTGTGGGGCTGACATGGAAGGTGACAGTCCAAAATAAAGTAACCAAGGTACATTTCAACTCTTCTGAGAATCCAAAATCACTCCCAAAAATGAAAGTTTTTAATGGCCAAAAGAAAAATAAATTACCAAGAGAATTTCAGGTGGTTCTTAGTACTGTGAGGAAAATCAGAGTACTGTTACAGGGGTGACTGGGGGTTGGGGGGTACGGGGTACGTGGGGTTGGGGGGTACTGTAGGTGTCCCAAGGAAGTGACAGTTGTGCTGAGAAATGAAAGATAAGAGGGCAGCCATGTTGAAGACCTAGGAAGGCACTTCCCTGGGGAAGATGGAAAGTCCTTGAGGTGGGAGTGGGCTGAGACCAAGAACCTCAAGACCAGCTTGCCTGGAGCCTAATGAGCAGTCATCCGAGGTCAGGGGGAATGGGAGGCTGAAGGCTGTCGGGCGTGATACAGAGCGTGCTTAAGAGCTTGGTTGTCTGCCCACTGCTGCAGAAACCCATTAAAGTGTTTGGAGCAGTAACAGGATCTTCTTGAGTCTTTAGAAAGCATCAGTTTGGCTGCTGGGAGCCATATGGGCTCTGGCATATGAGAGCGGAAACTGGGAGTCCTTTGCAAGGATTTCGTGGTGCTTTGGGCAGGAGATGATGTTGACCTGGAGGCGGGGGCGATGGAAAAAGGTGGACTGATTTAAGTGCAGGGTCAGGAGAACTTGCTGATGGATTGGACGTAGTAGTTACAAAAAAGTAACCAAGGGTGACTTTGGTTTTTGGTTTAAACAATTTATTGAGGTGGAGAAGACCGAAGCAAGAACATTATGGAGAGGAAACTCAAGGGTGGGTTTGCAGGTGTTAAATTTTGAGATGTCTGGGAAGGTACCAGGAAAGGTCACTGGGGTGGAGGAAAACCCAAGAGAACATAGAGTTATGGAAACTATGGAGAAGAGAGTGTTTCAAGAAGGTGGGTGGAGGAAACCAGCAGAAGTCTGCTGAGAAGTGAGATGAGGACAGATACTGGATTTGACAAGATGGAAATCATTGCGGATGGGAAGACGTGGTTGGAGTAGGTGGAGGAGAGGATGGCGATGAGGAAGAGGAGACGGTGGATGTTGATAACTTAGTGTCAATAGGATAGTAATGAAGTAGTGCTAAGAACCAAAGAATATCTTTCACTTGGTTTATTTTTCAGTTGGTGTATAGCAAAGCATGTTTGTATGGTGATGAAACAGTACAGCAGAGAGGAAGAAATTAATACCAAAGAAAGAAAGGATAGTTAGAAAGCGAAGTCTTAGACAGTCCTAGGGCCAGGATTAATATCGTAAATGGAATTACAGTTCTTTGACAGGAGCCAGGAACATGTCTATCAAAATAGGACACATGGTAGAGAAGACGGATATAAATGTTCTAGATTAATAGCTCATGGTGGTCAAACTGAGGGAGTTCCTACTGGTTTACGTTCATTTTCTCAATGAAATGTGGGGTGAGGTTACCAGCTGAGAAGGGACAGGTACTGGTGGTTATCAAGAGGGGAGGTGAAAGAATTATGCTGAAGAGTGGGAAAGCCGGCCTGCACCGAGGGAATGGATAGGGTTATCTAGTAACATCACACCCTTTTTGAGATTCAGCATCACGAGGTCAAGTGAGATCTGTTTCATAGTGGTTTGGTTTCTTCCAGAGCATTTAGCTACGCAGAACTCCATGGGCAATTGTTGGGTTTAGCCAGCTTTGTGTTTTCCTAGGTGAGTGCTTCAGTGGGAGAGAGAAGCAAAATGAGTTGAGGATGTTTGAAGGTGGACAATAGACCGTGCGTGTGGGTGGGGTGGGGGAGGAATGAAGACTTGAGGGAGTCAGTGGGTTGTTAAGGTGGTGAACTCAAGAGCTTAGAGGCCTGTACAAGGATTCAGGAAATTGTCAGAGCAGAGTTCCAGGAGTAAGTGAGCAGGAAAGAAAAGATGTGGTTACAGTAGGATGCTGGAAATGGAGGCTTTGGGAATCAGTGAGGTCAAGGGTGCAATGATGACAGTGGGTGGCTGAGCTGGAGCAAAGTAAAAGATGGTCGGAAGGGAAAAGACTAAGGGGCCCAGAGGCCGGGGTGTTAGAGGAATTGTCCAAGGGGATGTTAAAGTTCCAAGAATGATGATGAGAAGAGAAGTGGGGAGAAAGACAGCAAGTTGGTGCTCATTTATTTGAGCACAGTACTGAGACGCTTAGTTGCTGAAAGTGAACACATTAACAGAGAGGAACACGTAACATATACTTCCATACATAATCAGTGTGAACGGTGGGGTTCATGACTCACGTTCATGTGATGTCTCGGGGGGCAGAAATGATGAAAAGACAGATGCCTCTTTCTGTCAGCAGGTGCCGCTGCCGCCGCTTCAGCAATGGTGTCCGCGTCCGCCCCTTCGGTGTACAGTGTGCAAGCCCTCTCCCTCCTGGCAGAGGTAAATACACATCAGACTTGTCACCCCTTACGGAGGTGAGTCTCTGCAAAGGCGTTCATTCTCAGGTGCAGGGCTCACGTGCTGCACTGTCCCAGGTGAGCATGTAGGTCAGTCTTGGCCTCCTGCTGCACCATGGAGTTTTCTCGTTAGGCTGTAGATACCCCGAGGACTGAATTTCGTACTGCCACTGGCTTGAGGAGATTTCTGTTTTCTGGCCATCCGTCCCTTTTAGGTTCTGGCAACTCTCCTGGACATGGTTTATCGAAGCGATGAGAAAGAGAAGGCAGTGCCGTTGATCTCGCGTCTGCTTTACTACGTTTTCCCGTACTTGCGGAACCACAGGTAGCTCTGCCTTCTCCGGGGTACGCCGCCCACGTGTGGAAAGAGAGGTTACGGGAAATGCATCCATCGCGTTTCCTCGCACAGCCTCTGACCTTGACCCTTTCCCCTTCCCACCCCATTCAGCGCCTACAACGCCCCCAGCTTCCGGGCCGGAGCCCAGCTGCTGAGCTCTCTGAGCGGTTATGCCTATACGAAACGGGCCTGGAAAAAAGAAGTCCTGGATTTATTCTTGGACCCTGCCTTCTTTCAGATGGACACTTCCTGTGTGCAGTAAGAAATGCTATCCTGATAAAAACGTGCCCTGCATCTTGCAGTGGAGAAATGTGTGGGGTTTCCGTAATCAATTCTCACACCCAAAATGGGAGCAGAGCTAGCCTCAACCCAAGTCATAGGCCATCACTCGCTTGTTAACTGTGTAGTCCTGGGAGAGGAATCCAAGCTTTAATGCCTCATTTTTCTAATCAAGAGGAGAGTTTCAAGTAAGAGCATATTATCCCTAAAGAGCATGTTCTGGAGTTCCAGTTGTCCTCAGTCTAGAACTACTTTATATTGTAATCACAAATACTTGACCAATCTTAAGATGACTGGGCCTACTGGTGACACTGCTATGCCCTTATCCCACTTCTTGGCTTACGTTCCTTGAGTCCTGACTGAGTCCTTGTGGCTGGCCAGGCTCTGCACGGGCAGCAGAAATCCAGGCTGTTACAGCCGCAAGACGAATTTCCTGTGCCTTTTTCTTGGAGGTCAACAAAACTATGTGTAACTCTGCCCCTGGCTTGTCTGAACACGCCTGTATTCATGGCAGGATAGAAGGTGGAGACTGGTCACCTTTTCAGTACAGCCTGAGAGTTTGCCTACCACCCCCAGAGCCCACGGCTCTCACCCTGTGATGCTGTTGCCCTGGCGGGGAGCCCATTGAGAGCTAGTGGTATTTGTCTCCACAACCCCCGCTTCTTTCCATCCACACAAGTGCATGGACATCACCTGTGTGAACATATTTAAGGGCAGCCCTTGCAAAAGCCGAAGTACCTTGACACTTGGTGTTTTCTGTTGTGGTGAGCTCTGTCATTCATTCCCTAGGTTAAGGTTATAAATGAAAAGTCTTTTCTTAGCTTTTCCTTACATAAAAACTATTCATTCATTTCATTAACTTTTCAGAAAGCAGTTTTTAATAGATCTTATAAGAACATCTTCTTTTCTTGAAGCTTTTAATCAGACTGTCACCTTTTGCATATTTAACTAATTTTGTTTTTATTTAATATCCAGTTGGAAGTCCATTATTGACCATCTTCTGACTCATGAGAAAACAATGTTTAAAGATTTAATGAGTAAGTTCTTCTGTGTTACATGCACATAAGTCACACTTTGAAGGACCGATGCTTTTGGCCATAGCTTTTGCTGCGCATTTCAGAACCCTGCTCACACCTTTTACAATGCCGTCTCAGCCGCAGGCTGCAATATGATGTACGTGATTTGCCAGCAGTAAATGGATGCACCTTCCTAGTTCCAGTCTGTTGGCAAGAATGCCTTTAACAACATTTTCTACAGTGTCATGGTGGAGAAATGCTTTGGAAAAGTAATGATAAGTTGACCATAATTTGTTAGGAGTTCTTTCCTGAACCTTATATCCTCTTCAAATACCAACTCATTAAGTGTTATGAAAGTAATAAGTCCTTTTATAAATGTGAATATCTGAATAATAATAACTACATGCCCTTACTCCATCAAGATTGTGATTTTTCACCAGGGAAGGTAGGAATTACACCAGTACAAATTTCCAGTCACTTACCTCTCATTGTAGTTTTCTCACTAAAGGGAGAACGTGTTTGCTCTATTTCTTCTAGACATGCAGAGCAGTTCTTTAAAACTGTTCTCCAGTTTTGAGCAGAAAGCCATGCTGCTAAAGCGCCAGGCTTTTGCTGTCTTCAGTGGAGAGCTTGATCAGTACCACCTTTACCTTCCTCTGATCCAAGGTAAGAAGGCCAGCCCCCTCCCCCCAGCCCACCCCCGACACACACACAGGCCCAAAGGGGATGAGAAGGCTGGCCCACAGCGTGTTTTGGCAGAATGGGGAGTCAGCAGGTGTGAATGTAGAACTTAGGAAACATATCGGTAAATCTGAAACTTCATTTTAAAAATCAGTTATTGCGGGGGAAGGGTATAGCTCAGGTGGTAGAGTTCATGCTTAACATGCATGAGGTCCTGGGTTCAATCCCCAGTACCTCCATCAAAAAAAAAATTAAATAAGTAAACCTAAATAATTCCCCTGCCTCCCCAAAAAGAAACTTTAAAAAATCAGTTATTATATATAAGACCATTAGTTTCTATAGGTAGTTTTTTAAAGTCTGGGATTTGATACAACATTGTAAACTGACTATACTTCAGTAAATATATATATATCCAAAAACAATGTCTAGCAGTACTTTCTTAGCACTGCTTCTCCTCGATTCCTCCGGCAGCCCAGACACTTTTGAGTTTTCAATACTGAGTCAGGCTGGCGAAGGAGCAGGATTTTGGAGAAGTACCTCACTTTTCCTTGGCAGCCTTTTCTCTTCTTCATACTAGTGTTATTCCTTGTCTGCTTCAAAAAGGAATGATTGTGGATAATGGTACATGATTTTGGAGGGTTTTTTTTTCCTCCTGATAAAATGTTGAGAGGGCAGAGTGAACATTGTGTTTTAATTCTCAAATAGGAATGTGTTTTCCTTAAGGCTCATAGCCTGAATGGAATATAATAAATAATCTTTCAAGATTTGTATTAAATATCATAAAGACTAATGTAAAAGATAGTTTTACAAATATTAGAATTATGGTATAAATCCTTTTTGGGGGGTCAGTTTATTAAGGTATAATTTATATACAGTAAAAATCACCTTTCCGGTTTATACAGTTCTGTGAATTTTGATAAACACATATAGTCATATAACCACCACTGCAGTCAAAGTACAGAACATTTCCATCACCCCAGAAAGTTCCCTTTTGCCCCTCGGAAGTCAGCTCCTCCCATGACTCCCTGACCCCGTCAATCACTAAATCTGCTTTTGTTCATATAGTTTCATCTTTCCCAGAATGTCCTATACATGTGATTAGACGGTGTGTAGCCTTTGAGCCTGGCTTCTTTGACTTGCATGATGTATTTGAGAGTCGTTCTTTTGTATTATCAATAGCTTATTCCTTTTTATTACCACTTATTTGTAGTATTCCGTTGTGTGGTCTGTTTACCAGTTCACCAATGGAAGGGTATTCAGGTTGTTTCCACACAGAATTATGTCACAGATCTCTTACCCTGCTCTCTTAAAAACTGTAACTAACAGTTTACAAATCACTTGCCTCTGTATTGTCATTGTCCCCAGGATTGTTGATAGGCCCAGCCACTGAGGTCCTGGAGTTACAGAATTCAGAGTGTTCTTTGACAGTCTTGGGAGCAGTGGAGCAATGACGCCCCAGTCAAGGGCGTAGATGCATCCAGAAGCTTCTAAGTTGCACACCCTCGTAAATAGTTCAGGCCTAATCAGAAGAGGCAGGAATGGGGAACGTCTGCCATTTCTCCTCTGGGATAACATCTGGGGTCCTTTTCCCCTGATGACAGTGCCATCAAGTGGCCCCAAGGAGGTCAATCGATGAGCACAGGGTGAGGAAGTGAGCAGCTCCGTACACCTTGGCTTATAGTGACAAAGATTTTACACTGATCCCAAAAGAAGCTGTAAATAAGGTTAAAGCAGTTATTTTTTTAAAGGAGTGGGAGGACAACAAAATGCTGCTTGTCAAGGATGAAAGGAGGACAGGTATCACTGCCCCCCAACAAAGGCCCCTGACAAGGGGATCAGAAAGGTCTAGAGGCAGCACTCTGTTCCCTTTAAGCTGGATGAGGGTAGCTCATTCCAGGTCCACTGGGGTACTTGCCATCTTTTGTGTCTTCCTCATTGTCCTTGTATTAGCTCCATTTTTACATCAGGATTCTGATCCTCAGAGAGACTAGTACCTGCCCCTCTGGCTCCCAGCGATAGGCTGTGGTCCTCAGTAGGTGCCCTTCGAGACAGGTGGAGCAAGGGGACGACTCTAGTTCTACAGGTGGGAAACAGACTCAGTGAGATTGAGCGGCCAGCCTAAGCGAGGTTCTACAGCCTTGACAGTGGTACGTGGATGCTGGCTCAGGGCTTTTCCAGCTCTGTGCTCACAAGGACTCCTTAAGCCTGTAAGGTTTATCACTCAGCTAAGAAAGGAATATTAGAGATTGAGGAAAACTAGAGCTTCTAAAATCGATTGTCTTAGCTGAAGAATGATCTCATGAATTTAGCTTTTATTTGAAGCATCAATATAAAATATGCCCTATGTGTGCAAACCACTTTTTTTAATACTCTATTTTGAAATAGGTTAAGACTCACAAGAAGTTGCACAAATAGTACCTCGTGTTCCTGCTACTATTCCTCCAGCTTCCCCTGTGATCACATCTCATATAAACCTAGTCCATCGTCAAAACCAGCAAGTCGACGTGGGAATATTACCATAACCCAACTAGAGACTTTTTCAGATTTCACCAGTTTCTGCACGCACTCTTTTTGTGTTTGTGTGTATGTCTAGTTCTGTGAACATATACAAATTCTTGCAGCCAGCACCACATCCAGGATAGAGAACTCACTACAGAACAACCCCTCAAGTCACTCCTGCTTTATAGTCACCCTCCACCAACCCTAAGCCCTGGAAACTGCTCATCTGTTCCCCATCACTTTAATTTTGTCACTTTGATAATATTCTGTAAATGGAATCATATAGTATGTCACCTTTGGAAATTAGCTTTTTTCATTCAGTACAATGCCTTCGAGAACCATCCCAAGGCAAGTGGGGTACATTCATGGATGTGGCAAGAGTTTGATCCTTTTTAATGAGTGATAATGCTCCATTTTATGGATGTACCACAGTTCATTTATCCATTTACCTGATGGACATTTGGGTTGTTCCAGTTTCTGGTTATTACAAAGAAAGCCTCCATGATAAATCATTCATGTACCATTATTGTGTGGACATAAGGTGTCATTTCTCTAGGATGAATACACAAGGGTTTGATTACTGGGTCTTATGGTAAATGTGTGGTTGACTTTATAAGAAACTGCCAGACTGGTTTTCAGAGTGGATGTGCCATTTTGCATTCCCACTTACACAATAACTGAAGTGTCATTACCCCTTTGCTGTCTGTATGGTCTGCAGAGATATCCCTTCTTTCATCCCTGATATTGGTAATTTGCCTTTTCTCTTTTTTGGTCCGTCTTTCTAGAGATTTATCAATTTTATTCTTCCTTTCAAAGAATTAGATTTTAGTTTGATTGATTTTTTTCTATTTTTTTGTTTTGTTTGCAATTTCATTTATTTCTGCTCTTTATTATGTCCTTCTTTGTATTTGGGGTTTATTTTGTACTTTTTCTAGTCTCTTGAGGTACAGGCTTAGATTATAGATCTGAGTGCTGTCTTCATCTGTAATGTAAGCATCTAGTGCGGTAAATTTCCCTCTCAGCAGTACTTCAGCTATATCCCACAAAATCTGATATTATATTTTAACTTTTTCATTTATGTATATTTATTTTTATTTCCTTTGATACTTCCTCTTTAGCCCATATCTTATTTAGAAGTTTGTTAATTTCCAAGTGTTTCCAGTTATCTTTCTGTTATTAATTTCTAGTTGAGTCTGTTATGGTCAGAGAACATTCTTCGTACGATTTAAATTTGTTGAAGTTACATTATATCGTAGATGATAAAACAGCCTTGGTGAATGTTCGATGAGCCCTTAATGAGAGGTGTTCTGCTGCTGCTGTTGAGTGGAGTGTTCTCCAAGTGTTGATTAGATCCTGTTAGTTGATGGTATTGCTCAGTTCTTCTGTATCTATACTGACTTCTTTCTTACACGTTCTATCAGTTATAGGATAGGGATGTTGAAGTTCAACTATAGTTGTCAGTACTTACTCTGGTTTGAGTTTCATCAGTTCTTACTTCATGTATTTTATACCTCTGTTGTTTGGAGCATAAACATATAAGAATATTATAGCACAGGGAAATATATACAAGATCTTGTGGTAAGTAGCTCACAGCGAAAAAAAAGATGTGACAATGAATATATGTATGTTCATGTATAACTGAAAAATTGTGCTCTACACTGGAATTTGACACAACATTGTAAAATGACTATAACTCAATAAAAAAAAGTTTAAAAAAAAGAGGAAAAACTTTTCAGATTATTAATGTATCTTCTTGTTGAATTGACCTTACTACTATGTAATGTCCCTCTTTGACCCTGGTACTTTTCTTTGCTCTGAAGTCTATTTTGTTTTGTATTAATAGAGCCACTCCAGTTTTCTTAAAATTTTTGCATAGTGTATCTTTTTCCATTCTTTTACCATAAACCTACCTATATCATTACATCTGAAGTGAGTTCTGTGTAAGATAGCATATAATTGGGTCATTCCTTTAATCCGTTCTAACAATTGCTCTCTTTTAATTAGTATGTTGAGACAGTTTGCCTATAATGTAATTATTGCCATGTCAGGATTTATTATGCCTTTTTATTTATTTTCTGTTTGTTCCTTGTTTTTCACTCCTGTTTCCCTCTTCCTATTTTCTTGAGTTACTTTCACGTTTTTTCAGCATTCCATTTTGATTTACTTAAAGTGGTTCTGGGGTATATCTCTTTATATAGTTTTTTGCAGTGGTTGCTCTAGAGATTACAGTAAACATAAAATGTACATACTTACGGTGATCTACTAGTATCAACATTTTACCACCGTTTTGGATGCTTTTCTCTTCTCCCATATGATAGTTGTCTGAAATACTACCTTTATTTATGCTGGGAACCTCAAGAGGTAGTGATACACTTTTTGCTTTTACTGTCCAACATAATTTAAATACTCAAGAGGAAAGAATATTATTTTTACTTGTGTATTTACCCTTTCTGTTGCTCTTTAGTCATTCCCCATTTTTCATGTGTCCTACTGTTATTTCTTTTTTTCTTTTTTTTACATTTTTTATTGATTCATAATCATTTTACAGTGTTGTGTCAAATTCCAGTGTTCAGCACAATTTTTCAGCCATTCATGGACATATACACACTCATTGTCACATTTTTTTCTCTGTGATTTATCATAACATTTTGTGTATAATTTCCCTGTG